TGTTGCTTTGTATGTTCCTCCCCCACAGTATAACCCCTGTTTCACTGTATTTGATGTTGGTATAATTTGTGGAAGGGAAGGGGAAAAACAAATCGTTTAAATAGGGATATAGGTGGACCCATTGCAACAATGAGATGTACAAGTCGTTATGTCGAAAACGAACTTTACAACTTTGGTGGGGGCAGGGAGGATTGGGTGGGAGAGCAGGGGGGAGGATGGGAAGGTATGGTAAGAGGAAACAAAGGAGGAGGCTGCAATGCTTGATAAGAAATGTACTCATTATCTTGCCCATGCAATTGTAACCCCTCTGTACAGTATTTTCACAATTAAAAAAAAAGATGATGTTAAGTGAAACCCCAAGATAGGGACAAAAAGAAATAGCTTACCATAAGGAGGCTAACACAGAGAAAAGAAGCTAGAGCAATAATCTCAGAGCATGGGTTGCCATTGGTGTTATTTTTTTCTACCGACTTTCTGCTCTTGTGAAAGCCCCAGTTGCCTGCTCCACATTTCCCCTCAGCCTCTTCTCAACTACTCCAGTTGCTACTGGAGCCCACCCCACCTACTTTTTGGGAGTCTGATTCTGACTTTGGTAACAGTAGTAAGAGAAATAATCAATCAACATGTCCTCCTCCTCTAAATTATATATATATTCCTGCTCATGCTGGCTGGTGATCCACAAATCGAGGCTTTCTGGGGGTATTTTAGAAAAATGTACCTCTCATTCTTTTGGGGGAGGGTTTTGGTAGTTCAGCTCTATATATTCATGAACGTAAACAAGGAGACATAGAGGTAAAGAATTGTGATGTGTGATCACATGGTCAAATGAAGCACGGGTGGATCTGACGAGAAGAGCGCAGAGGAGGTGCCCCAGACAACCTCAGACTTTGAATATGTAAGAAGCTGAATTCAAGTATTCTGTCCTGCAGCCATCCAACTCAGTCTGCTGACAATGCTTCCCAATGTAGATTAAATTACATTTAACCTCATAATAAAATTCATTTTTCCTGATCAAGCTCCACATTTATTTCATTAAATAGATCATCGGTAGGCATTATTAACCATCAATAGTCTGCATTTTCACATAATAAAATATATATTTCTGATCAATGATTTGGTCAAATAGGCATGTTAACAGCTGTTAGTACGTATGAAAAAAACAAAAAAAAACGAACTACTTGCAAACTAAGAAAGTCATTCTGAGTAAGACAAGTCACCCTCAGAATATCACTTGCCTGGCTTGCTTCTACCCTCCTTGGGAATTCACACTGATGTGTTCACACTCAAGTAGAACACACCTTTCTCTAAGCCGCTGCACAGTTCACGTGGGCATCCTTGAGGAGCGGTACATAATGCCACAGACAGGATTGGGGACCTCCCGAGCCCTCGGCAACAATGACAAAGCCCTCCAGTTCTAGCCTGCAGAATGGAAGCCCCGCCATGGTCCCATGCTAAAGTTCCCTGAGCTCTCTCGAGACAGAAGTTCCCTCCACTTCCCTGCTTCTAAACTTGCACCAACGCCATCCTTCCTCAGAGGCTGGAGGGGCCTTGAAAAATGAAACAAGGTATGTGCCTTGTTCCTGCCAGTGTCCTGCTTTCTCAACAGAGGCAGTGTTAAGTGAGGCAGCACATCACCTCAGTTAAGTTACATTGCGAGCTGTGTCTCATGCCTCAGCAGGAGCGAACACACCGCAGACATCTGCCGCGGTCAGCTTATGAAATCCCAATGCTGCTAACTTCATGTTGTAGGCGCCGTATCTTTTTATTGGTCTCAGGCATAAACTAATTTATGCTCCTAAGGGAAAAAGAAGCAGGAGTGATGGCTTCTTTTTATTGTTTGGTGAATGTGCAAGAGTAGCCTCTTTAGTCACAATTTCCTTCCAAATCCTTGCAGCAGGATGGCCATATATTTTTGTCTCTAGGAAATCCAAGTATACACTGGCAAGTATAACTGTGACCCCTTAACTGTCGAAAGAGGATAATTACAGGAATGTCAGTGTCTTAAAGATCAAATAGGATTAGTATTTAAGCTTTTAAAGTTACTTCCATAACATGATGAAGAAGAGTCTGTACAAATGGATCAGTTGCAGGTACAGTAGCCACCCTGTGTTGGTGCCACCCCAGATTCCTCTGGATGGGTCAGATCCCCAAGCTTCATGATTATATAACAACAGGCTTATGTGTATGGAAATTTGAATAACTAAGAGAAAATAATTGAAGTAAAAAATTGGCTTGAGAAATAGATATATATTTAGGCTACGTAGCAATTTGGTAGTTAACAAGATTCATCGCATATCATCTGTTTAGGAAAATCAAATGGGGTAAAAAAACTGTGTTGCAAATGTGTCATTTTAAATTTTTCATTCTGAGCCAGAAGCAGGTGGCTCACACCTGTAATCCTAGCTACATAGGAGGCTGAGATCTGAGGATCAAAGTTTGAAGCCAGCCTGGGCAGGAAAATCCTGGACATTCTTATCTCCAATTAACTACCAGTAAATCAGCAGTGGAGCTGTGGCTTGAAGTGGTAGAGCACTAGCCTTGAGCAGAAGAGCTCAGGGACAGAGCTCAGGCCTGTTAGTTCAAGCCCCAGGAAGGGGAAAAAAATTTTCATTCTAAGTCACAGATTCACTGAACACAGATAAAAATGAAAATGGCAGCTCACTATCTCTAGATCTGAGAGGAGGGAGGACAGATTTGGAAGTTGAGGAAAGGTTGAAGAAAGTGGATGGATTTGGAAAGAAGATGGATTTTTGATCCATCTGCCAGCTGTCTAGCTTCCCTCTCAGAAAGTTCTAACAGATGTAGGAACACAAGACTAAAGTACAGGACCTCAGATGCCTCTCCAATGAGTCCAGTCAGGTAACTAAATTACAGGAGATAATGCGAGTTTTCATTGGTAATTGACTTCTATGATTGTTGGCTATCAATCTATCTGAGTTCAATTCCAGTGTAGGAACCTTTGCTGTAATAAAGGGTGACTTAAAGTCTGCAACTACATTTTTCTTCCCAGTACCAGGTTCCTAGCAGCTAAAGATAAATGAACCGCCCTTTCCTGCAGTGCCAGTAAAGGGGGAAAAACACAAATACACACACCCTGGGGGAAACAAAGGCAGCAAGACTGAGCTTCTCCACAGTTCCGTTGGCGGGGGAGAGGCCTGCGTGGCAGTCTGTGGGAGTGAATCTAATTATCACTCTCTTACTTTCATTAATAGGTTGGAGCAGGCTAACTTTTATAAGGAAGAAGAGGGAGACATGCCTGAATTCTTAGGCTACGCTATGATAATTTAAGCGGCATGTTCACAAAAATAGCTTTTTTGTTAATAAGTTCTTCATGAGGCTGTGCAGGTGGGTGGACGAACGTCAAAAGCAGGAAAGGCAAAAATAAATGATAGCACATGGCATATTTATAGACTAAAGGGCAGAGCGTTCTGGAAAAGTGGAGGGAACTCTTTAATACATTCTGGTTTCCATTAGTTATTCTAACCATTAGGTGATGTTCTCAGTTTCTTACATTCCTATAATCCTGCTTAGATTCTCTGCCTTTTCTACCAGTGTTTGTGGTAGTCAACTTGGATATAATCTCTGTATTTCTTGACCAAGAGTTTCATTTGTTTATTTTCGTAGCTTTACTAGCCAAAAATCAGATGATGACTATGAAGATTATGCTTCTAATAAAACGTGGGTCTTGACTCCAAAGGTCCCTGAGGGAGATGTGACTGTCATTTTAAACAACCTGCTGGAAGGGTATGACAATAAACTTCGACCTGACATAGGAGGTACGTCAAAATCCTTCCTGGTAAGCCACAGAGAGGGCACATATTCTTAGAAGAAGACATTAGCATACTTCACAAACTAGGAAGGCATACGTTCTACTATGTGTTGTCAAAATAAATATACAAGGAACACTCAAGACTAGGAGCACAAGAGCTATTAATAAACTTAACATGAAGAAATAATTGTTAAGTAAAGCTAAAAATGCACATTTTCCTACATATTACAATGGCTATTTAAAAAGGGACAATTTCTCATGAAGCATAATTTAAAATAAAATAGAAAGTAATAGTAGAGACTAGAGAGGCGATAGTGATTACCTAGTGCTTTGTAACAGTCGCAGCAATGCTGTGCCAAGAACGTCAGAACTGGTCTAGCACTTCACAGGGGAAATAAGCTTGTCTACGCTGGGGTTGCTCTTTGAGCGTGAATACTCTAAGTAGCTCTCATTCTACTTGTGGGAGCAGTCTACTGTCTAGGAGGATCTGTCTCATGGCAGAAAACAAGAATGAGAGAAAGTAAATACCCAGAGGCCTAGTGTCTAGGCTTAGAACTGGACAGTCACCTTTGTACATCATCAGCCAAAAATGTCTGCCTATGCCCAGATGTTAAGAGACATCAGCAGAGCCTCACGGGGGAGGAGACGGCAAGGGTGTGGGTGTTAGCATTCTTAAAAAAATTCCATCTGCCACAGTTCGGACATGCAACCTTCAAGGAAAAAGAATAAAGAGGAAAAAAAAAGGTTCTTTGTGCACTAAAGACCAGAATGACAGGAGGGATCTTTCATTAAGGGTTAAATTAACATGGAACACGTCCATTGGCTCTTGGATGGCACACTGCAGATTCTACCCAATAGAAAGGTGCACATACCAGCCTCCACAGAGCTCACTCATGACCTGTGCGACTCAGCATCCAGGAAGTCATCATGGTAGATGGCACAGCTGGTGTATTTGGTGCTAGCCAGATGCCCCTGGAGGTAAAGTGTCCCTGCAGATGAGAAACAGGACAAATGTCTCCAAAGCAATGTATAGTTCACACTGCTCTTTATGTCTGTGTCAAATTTCTGATGCATAGATTTTTTGTCTGGGCCCCGAAGTAATTATTGTCTATGTGGGTCAAGTCAGGTTGCAAGGTACAAATAGATTCAAGAGCTTGCTGGGAAAGTAGTATAATTAGAGGGATCTGAGGAAAGAAGGAAGAAAAGCTCAGAGCACTGTCTTCTCATTTCTTCATTTTAATGTAAGTTAAAAAGGATAGATGGTTTGAAAGCTGTACTGTGCTTGTTTATTGCAATTGCCTGCTTAAAAGAGTTGCTTCACAGGGCACTGGTGGCTCACAACATTTGTAATCCTAGTGACTCAGGAGGCTGAGGTCTGAGGATTGCAGTTCAAAGCTAACCCTGGGCAGAAAAGTCCTTGAGACTCTTACCTCCAGCTAACAATGAGAAAAACAGAAGTGGCAGTATGACTCAAAGTGGTAGAGTGCTAGCCTTGAGCAAAAGAGCTCAGGGACAGCGTTCAGGCCTGAGTTCAAGTCCCAAGACTGACCAAAAGAGTAGTTTCTTGGATACAAAATTATTATGCAAATATGGTGAATTAGTAAATTCATTTTGAATACTTCTAATTCAGCTAAATAGGATTGTCCTAGAAAATTAAGACAAAAACAGTAGAATTCAGTACTTCTCCAATGCATATATCTCTACAATTCTCTTTGCAGTGAAACCAACCTTAATCCACACAGATATGTATGTGAATAGCATTGGGCCAGTGAATGCAATCAATATGGTGAGTGTCTTCATAAAACTATTTTTGGCATATATAAAACGAGGAATATATAAAAAATCATTTCAATTTTGGAAGGGAAAGATAAATCTTTTACCTCCATTTTCTCTTTTGCAATTTGAAGATAATTAAATTTTGAGGACTTTGAAATAAAAGCTGAATGTGATTGCACATAAAATAAAGCATGTGTAATTATGAAATATTGCCCCAATTCAGCAATTATTGTGCATCTTCCAAAGGATCATGGCCTAACGTGTTTCAAAGTAAGAAATGGTCCCAGGAAAAATAGTGCATTGGTGTTACAATATTTCATTTTTTCTGTACCATTTTCTATCCGAATCTGAGATGAGAAACTAGACTAAGTCCATAATACAAAAGAGTAAAATGGAGTAAACAGGAGCTGACCGTCGTCAGCATACTATCACTATGATGTATCGTATAGATGATGATGCGTTGACTATGCTATTAACACTGTGATTTAAAGTGTTCACAAAACTAATAATAAAGACAGTCTCCTAAGACAGAGAGATAGATACAAGATAAACATGTGTATCATTACCTGCATAATCATAATTGTTTGGCTTGTGTTAAGTACTAACCACTCTAACATACTACATTCTTTGTATTCTGAAAAAAATGCCAATATAAAAAAATACACTATAGACTGTAATGTAATTCTGTTCTTGCTGCTAGTTCATTCTTTATATTATTTGAATATCTGTATTGTCTTTAAGTAGTTATACAAAGGAATTGCCATTCAACCAAGCAGTTTACAAATGCAGTGCATCTAAATCACAGTTAGAACTCTGTTTTAAGAGTATCAGTTCCCCAGAAATGTCACACAGTTTGGAAAATGCTGGTGTTCAGACTTATTTTTTTTTTTTGTCAGTTGTGGGGCTTGAACTCTGGGCCTGGGCATTGTCCCTCAGCTCTTCAGCTCAAGGCGAGTGTGCTACCACTGGAGCCACAGTGCCAATTCCGGTTTTCTAGTGGTTTATTGGAGATAGGAGTCTCATGGTCTCTCCTGCCCGTGATCCTCAGATCTCAGCCTCCTGAGTAGCTAGGATTACAGGCATGAGCCACCGGCGCCTGGCTTAAATATTTTTTAATTGTGCTTGGTTTTGTTTTGGCCAAAATACATCTGAAATTATTTAATTAATTTTCTCCTGACCACCTTTGTTAACAACGATTTCACAATACATGTTTCCTTTCTGTATAATAAACTTCACACAAGCAACTGAATGATGAATGAGTTGACGTAGCTTACCCTACTGGAAATGTACCCAGTTACAATGACACATGATAGTAAGTGGCTCTAGAAAGAATACAGAGCAGTATTCAGGCAAGAGAAATAGTTCCCAAGTCTGTGAATTCTGGAGCAAATCAATACTCTCCTTGGTCCTTCGTATTTTTCAACATGAAATGGAGTTCAGGGTACTGGAATCAGAATGTGAATAACATTTGCTTGCAACTTTACAGAGAAGACTGAGTTATTATTATTATCATCATCCAATTTGTAGAGCTGACCAAAGCCAAATAAAATAAGGCACAATTAGGGATAGTTATTTGGAATCATTCAGATAGCAAATAATTTAACTTGCTGTTTATTATACTAGTTGATCCTTTCTATACTACTCAGATAGGTGATTTCTCTCTCTCTCTCTCTCTCTATCTCTCTCTCTCTTTTCTTATCAGTCATGGGGCTTGAACTCTGGGCCTGGGCACTGTCCCTCAGCTCTTCGGCTCAAGGCTAGCACTCTACCTCTTGAGCCACAGCACCATTTCCAGTTTTCTAGTGGTTAATTGGAGATAAGAGGCTCACAGACTTTCTTGCCTGGGCTGGCTTTGAACCGTGATCCTCAGATCTCAGCTTCCTGAGTAGCTAGGATGACAGGCGTGAGCCACTGGTGCCCGGCTCTCACAGGTGCTTTCTTAACTGAGATGATGCATGGAAAATGTTTGGCCAGAGGACCAGCTGAAAATAAGTATTTGTAAATAATACAAGAAAAATAAAATAATAATAGCTAGCCTTTTGATGAACTACTGTGATGATGATGATGATGATGATAATGAAGTGTTATATAAATCTGGAAGTAGCTAAGTATGTGTTTGGGTTCACTGTTTGTAGATAAAGATGAAGAAAAGAAAAGTCCATAAAGGGTAGACACTTTCTCCAAAGTCTATTTCCAAATACAATAGTCACCCTGGAACCCTAGAGTCCTGACTCCACACCTTGTGGTCCAAAGTTCACCCTTCATTTGCTTTTCTATGACCAAAGTCAGCTGTTATCTAGTTTACTACTGAGGCTGGAGGGAAATCTTTGCATTCATTGGTCATTATAAAGAGCACACTTTGTGATAGAGATTAGTACAGCACTAGGAATTTTATTTTATTGGTTAATTTCATCCTAGTTAGAGAAAGAGCAACAGTAAATCACCTGAAAACCTGCAAGTACTTTTTGCTGGGAGCTTGCTCTTTGCTGGATGTGGTGCAATTTACTTTATGTGTCTTCTCTTTTCTTTCTTCACCTGACCTAACCAGCTAAGTTCTTTAGAGACCCCATTTTATTGTGTGGAAACTGAATTTCTGCTCTCCAGCTTTGCTGCTCTTCTGAGGATTCTGAGCTTCATACCTGACCCTGTAACAGGGGCTCTAGGCCTGGGAAACTGGCTTCCTTAGGAGACAGCGCTGTCTGGAAGCCATTTCAGGTGTCAGGCCCGCCAGAGGGTAGAGGAGAGGCAGGAGGGCTGTTACTTTAGCAAGTGGGAAGTAGGAATGAAGACTACTGCTAACCAGTCCGCAAGGACTGTGCTCTACAGCAAAAGAATGAGCCAGCCCACAGCATGCTAACGCACTCCAGTTCATCAGGCTGGGGTGATGAAAGCGAAGGATCGCATCAGGGCCACCATCTTTAGTCAGAAGCCATTTCGACATGTCTTAGTTTTCCATAAAAACACCAAGCTGGTCGAGAAAAAAAGTGTTTAGAGATACAGCTTCATCAGTAAAACGTTGCTTCCTTTCAGATGATTCAGAGCCAAAATAGCTTCATCTCACACTGGCAAATAAGCACAAGACTGAGATAGAAAACTACTCTACAGTGTACTATTATTGTATTAAAGACGCTCTGTCTTATCTTTTCCCTTTCAAAACAGGAATATACAATTGATATATTTTTTGCCCAAACATGGTACGACAGGCGCTTGAAATTTAACAGCACCATCAAAGTCCTCCGACTGAACAGCAACATGGTGGGGAAGATCTGGATCCCAGACACCTTCTTCCGAAACTCAAAAAAGGCCGATGCGCACTGGATCACCACTCCCAACAGGATGCTGAGGATCTGGAATGACGGCCGAGTGCTCTACACCCTAAGGTAATCCCCACCCGACACCCTCAACCTGGGACTCGGGGCTCCCCAACTTGTTAGGCTGGTGCTGCTCTACCACCTGAGCTATGTCCTAAGTTCCTTTGCTTTAGTACTTACAAAACAAACAAACAATGGTGTCTCAGGTTTTTGTTTAGGCCAACCTGGGCCACAAGCTTCCTATTTCTACCTCGTGTGTAGAGGGTGTCCTCTTGTATAAAGGGAGTGTGGACACATAGTATCACACCCAGCTTACTGAGAGGTGGAATCTTGGTAACAGCCTGGGCTGGTCTAGAACTGTGATCAACCCAATCTCTAATCTCTCAAATTGTTGGGATTAGAGATGTGAAGCACTATTCTTGATCTCTATCTTGTATCTTCTGAATTTATTATTATTGTTGTTATATTATTACTATTACTATTATTGGTGCCAGTTCTGGTACTTAAATTCAAGGTCCAGGCACTGTCCCTGGGCTTTTTTTGGTCAAGGCTGGAGCTTTTCCACTTGAGCCATAGCTCCACTTCTGGATTTTTTTTGCTAATAAGTTGGAAATAAAAGTTTCACAGACTTCCCTGCCCATGATGGCTTTTAACTATGATCCTCAAATCCCAGATTTCTGAGTAGCTAGGATTACAGGCATGAGCCACTGGAGCCTGGTGCTCTGAACCTAAATATTAAGTAACACTAGGATGTTTTCTATTTAAATTAGTTGCTGTCATTATCTTAACCCACTTCACACTGGTACATTTTTAAGACATTTTTACATCGAAGTTGATGCGAGAGTATGGTCGAGGAGCATTAGTCGATGGGGAACAGACAGATCTGGTTCGAGTTCTGTGCTGCCCATCTTACTGTCTATGTTCATGTACACTGTACATTGTTTATGTTCCGTGCTGTCTTACTGTCTGTATGAACTGGAGAAGCTCTCCAGAATATTTTCTTCTGCAGCAGGTTGAGGGCAGATGAATGACCCAGGCTGTGGTTCTCGGAGGTACTTCCCAGCTTCATTTATAGCACACACAATGTTCTTGCTTGGTTAATTTGTATCAGATTAACTGAGAACTCATGGAAATTGCAGGGATAGAAGGCACGCCCCGCACTGTGAGGCTTTTCTCCATTTCTCCCATTACAACTGCACAAGCCCTTGCACTTCCAAACTGCACGAATGTAGGTCTTTCTTTACAGAGCTGATCTTTACGGCGTGGTAAATATTAATGTTACCTGGGCATGCATTCATGATACGATTCCTCTAGATTTTAGCATCCTAGAACTTGATTTGTATACTAGGCACTAGTGACCTATTTGATGTCTTAGGTAGCATTCAACATGTAAAATATAGTTCTTTAAAATGGCCCCCAAACTCTTACCAGAGTTAGGTCAGTTAATTGGAAAAATGGCTACAATTGCAAAAGAAATTCATTGCATTTATTTTATATCCATCATGGTTTTTTTTTTTATTAGCGATAAGGTAATGAATGGAATTAGAAACAGGGAACCTAAGCCTGTCTGATTAATCAGAGCTTAGTGTGGCTTTAGAAATGCGAAGTCAATCACCCTATCGTGTCCCTTTATTGTTCTCATAACATCGTAGTCAATTTTTATTTCTATTAATTTGAGAAACTGCTACAATATTTAATTATAGAAGCCACCTCAAAAACATCACTCATGATCATCAATTAAGGCCTGAGTCAGATCCAGTCTATAGATAGTCACAATTTATTTTTGGAAGCTTATTTGTAGTGAGTGGGGAGTGTGTGTGTCTGTGTGTGTAGGTTTGTGTCTGTGCTTGTATCTACAGTCAGTCCATATTATTGTCAACTTTAATAGCTCCAGCATAATTTGGAGAGATAATACAAATAAACTCAGATTTAATTATAATTTAATTTATGAGTGAAACTAGTTTTTCCTTTCGAAGGCATGTAAATACAGAGTAACGATGATTCAAACCTTCAGCTTTGGAGACTGAAAAACCCAGGTCTGAATCCCAACTGTGCCAGGCATTCTAGGACTTTGGGCAATTTCAAGTACAATAAAGCCATAAAAACATTACTAAATGAGGAAACAATTCACTTTATCCAGAACTTCACAAACAATGACATATTCCAAGATCAGTAATTGCTCTATTATATCACAGAACAATAATATATACCCAATTAAAAGGCATTCTAATTGGGAACTCTTTTAAATTAAATTTTCATAAACCAGCATTTTATTACTTGAACAATGATTTCCGTTTTCCTTAAGAATCCACATGAAAGTTTTTAAAATGTCCAATTCATCACCATTAAAATTTGGAATTAAGCCTGGTGCTGGTGGCTCACGCCTGTAATCCTAGCTACTCAGGAGGCTGAGATCTGAGGATCACAGTTCAAAGCCAACCCGGGCAGGAGAGTCTGGGAGACTCTTATCTCCAATAAACCACCAGAAAACCAGAAGTGCTAGTCTAGCTCAAGTGGTAGAGAGCCAGCCTTGAGCTGAAGTACCCAGGGACAGTACCCAGGCCCACAGTTCAAGCCCCATGACTGGACAAAAAAAAAAAAAAAGGAATTATATTCATACTTCTGTAAAAGTGGTCAAAACATCTGAACCCCTTTATATTTTCTCCTTCCTGGACTCTCAGCCCAGAACTTGAGACTCAATACCTGTATTTTTAAGTAAACAGTTCCTACACAAACTGGGACTCACTAGCAAACATTTCTCTGGCCTCTCGGTGATGTGTTTTTAACATTTCTTGGGTGCCATTAGACATCTCTCTACTCCGTAGCATCCTAATAAATTATTTCACAGTGTTCCATTGAAAAATTACATAAAATTCTATTGTGCCATGTGGGTATTTTAAAATTTACCTAATGTAATTTAGAACTAACAAGGACTTACAAGCATGAAGTTCTGCTCTAATTACCAGATGAGATGCGAGGATTGCTACCACTCATTTACAGACCCACAATAAATAAACTGAAGTTCCTAAGACAGTTTGTTCTGTTAAGTGAAAATGTATACTGAGCAATCTCAGGTAGGCAGTTAATTTTGCAAAGAATTCTAAAAACAAGCCCTTAACTAATTACAAATTCTGAATAAACAGAGTTCACATGAATGAGATGCTAATACCTGGGGTATGAGAGTGAGTAATATTAGATTTAGTATTAAAATATTTGTCTGGGTTTTGTGGATCTTAGGGGAGCCTTATTCAGTACTATCAAGTCAAAAATGAGATATGCTCAAGAAAACATGATAATGCTTATTTTAGAAATTTTACTTAAAACTGCCCTATTTATTTATTATTTATGTATTAGTAGTACTAGGTTTTGAACTCAGGGCCTTGTGCTTGCCAGGCAGACACCCTACCATTCGGCCATGCCTCCAGTCCTAAAATCATTCTATTTACATTGCATGCCTCTCCAATCAGGCTGACGATTGATGCTGAATGCCAGCTGCAGCTGCACAACTTTCCAATGGATGAACACTCCTGCCCCCTGGAGTTCTCCAGCTGTAAGTAATTTTCCACTGTTTATCACTGTCACCTATGATCTTTGGGATTTTATCTGTCCATCAGATGATCGATCTAGTGTATTAATAAATCAGATAACTGATGGGCACTTTAGGAAGTGGTATATGGCTATATGATTAACCTTAAAACTCGAGTCCCTTTCATCCTAATTCTAACTTGTAGCAGTAGCGTAACTCCTGCAGAAACAAACAAACAGGTATGTTTCATCAGGAATTACAAATAGTTTTCATTCACCTGGGCAGCTGCCTCTATGCAGATGGGCTGTAGAGACTGACCTGGACTCAGCAGGAAGGGTAGAAAGACAGACACAATTGCTCAATAAAAGCATGACTTCTAATTAATCACTGTCAAATAATAAAATATACCAATACGATATATTGAATTCTAATACAAATTGAGCTCTAGTAATCTAAAGGGCATCTAGGAACGGATACCAGAACCCAAAGAACCTAGCCTCATTTCCCCAAATGTTTGCCTGACTGTTTGTTTGCCATCCATGTTAGGTAACTTATTTCCTCCTAAGTTTGGCCTGACAATTGTATTAGGCAGACTGAAAAATTGACCATAGATTTAAACTTGTATGTTAGAAACCTAATTTCCTAGTAAGGGAATCAGGGAGATCCTTAAGATCACAACCATAATAAATTAAAAATCATTGAGCAGACTTACAAATGCAATCCCTTTATACAACTCCCTCATAATAACAAAATTCAAAAAGAAATCACGGATCCAGAGAAGCTGTCATTGTTCATTATTGCATCAATACTAAGAAGTAAAAACATACATATATTTAGAAACATTTCCATTATAAATCTTACTTCATGGCTGTCCCATCCAGAATGCATTTAAATGGCAAATATAACGATTCTTTGACATTTAGAAATATTAACCTTCATGAAGTCTTTGAACTTTTCCCAAGTGAGACTACTATCCTGACTTAGCAAAGACTCACACTGATAATATCTGGGCCACTAGGTTGCTACTAATTGCTATTTTAAAGAAAAGAAGTCAATTACCAGTCCATTATTTAAACTTTAAATAAAGTTCTGTGATACCATTTTTATTGCCCTAAGTTTTCAAAGAACCCTGCCAGAATCTTCAATAGTTTTCTCTGTATAATCTTTCATTTTTTTCTATCATTAATTAACAAGTATATTATAGATATTGTTGGACAACCAATTAAATAAAAGGAAGAAACACACAGAATTTTATTCTAAGTAGTCAATTATACTTCCTCACTAGGGCTATCTTTTCATAACATTAATAATAGACAAATACTTGAGGCAATTCTAAGTTTTGTAGTGCTGAGGATTGAACCCAGGGACTTGTGCATGCTAAGCAATTATGCCACCACTGAACTACATTCCAAGTTCTACTTTCTAATTTTAATGTTCTTGATAAGGTTAATTAATTAAGGTTAGCTTAATAATAATGTTTATCCATTCAAGTAATAGACATTGAGCATCAATTATATGAGATAAGCACTATATTAATCAACATAAGTCAATAACTTACAGGGATTTTTTTTTCTCCTAAGGTATTACGGCTAGGAAAATTGTACTTATAACCATTACATAGTCCTGCCTCTGAGTGTATTTCCTTTGTCATGAAAATTTTCTATTTTCCTGATATGAAACCCACCGGTAGCTTCTTAACATTTTATTTATTGCTTTTATCTACTCACGTCTATGTATGAGAAAATGGATTCCATACAAATCGATATGCAAACATGAGAACAGCTGAGGACATTTCCCACACCTATTTTCTACCACAAGTAGTAGAAAAGTCCCTTTGGAAAGGGACTTTTAGCTGCCTGAGTGACTATTCTTCACCATGAAACATAAATCTGGAATGCTTATTATATACTGATCATTCTTATGCCTTACATCAGAGGATAGGAGGTCTGGACAGAGCACACAGGAAATCATTTGTAGCTTGTCTTTCCTGCAATTTCAAGGGTAATTCTCACCTTTGCCAGTAGGTTGAACTATCATTGCATCTATCCTCCCTTATACAACTGTCTTGCAGTTTGGGTGATTATCTACCACATACCGAGGCCTGTGTGTTAACATTGTTGTCTTGCTCATGTCGGGTGATTTGAGGACATTTCTAATGTGAGTTTATCTCACGGTAGATGGCTACCCACGTGAAGAGATTGTCTATCAATGGAAGCGTAGTTCTGTGGAAGTGGGTGACACAAGATCCTGGAGACTTTACCAATTTTCATTTGTTGGGCTGAGAAACACCACGGAAGTGGTGAAGACAACTTCTGGTAAGATACACTGGAAAAGACTTTTAAATGGCCCTTCCTTCTAAAGTTAAAACTCTGCAATACAATACATGATTTGGCAGGTTTTGCAGTATCTGTTTACAAATACTATTTCAGGAAATTAATGAAGTCTTTTACTATCCATAGAGAAAATCATAATTGGGATTCTGGTGGCATAAATATAAATGAATTCTATCAATTTGAAGCAAATTGGATTGAAATTGGGTTAGTAAATCATTTACTAATTTCTTTTAGCAAACATTAAATGGCAATTAATTTTAAATGTGAAATATTTATTGCGAATAAGTTTATTGTTTCTTTTAGGGAACAGAAATGCTAACATATTGAAACAGTATTTGAAGTGATCACATAGAAGCAATGTACATTCCATGAGTAAATGAAAATGACAGTAGCAGGTCTGGACTCTTTCTCCTTCCAATGGCTGAATGTGGCTAAGAGAGCAAGCTTTGGGTATTGGAAAGGTCTGGGTTCAAATTCTGATTCAATCAGCTATCAGATACTGAGTCTAAGAGGATCGGCTTCCCAAATACCTAATGTGAATAAGAAGCAATCCCAGAGATTCGGCATATGTGCTTTAGCACACAAAGAGTAATATTTTTAAAGTGATACTCATACTTAGCAAAGAATGAACAGTGCACACTGATGATAATCTTCAGGACTGTGTAAGTCTTACCGTGGTCAGGATATCAGCTTTTCAAGAGAAGCTGAAAGGTAATACTTTTATATATGAAATCTCATGAGTTTTAGAGATTCTTATTTACTTAACACCTCAAGGGGGAAAGCTAGACATATTTCTAGACCAACCTTGCTCACATGTACCCAATTTTAACCTTTATAAACCTGACTACTCCTTCTAAAATTATATAGAATAAAATGAGTCCCAATTTCAAAGATCTGTTAAGATATTTGCTAAATATAAATACATTTCATATAAATATCTATTAGATGTAAGCATATTTCAAATGATGTATCTACTAAGACATTCCATTTGAAATACATTTCTATGAGGTTGCTTTAATCACACATACCTGATATTTTTAGAAATTATTTCTCTACTGTAGTTTTGTCTGCGATACTTTGGACTATGCCTTGATTTTTTGTTGTTGTTGTTAGTCGTGGGGCTTGTACTCTGGGCCTGATTGCTGTCTCTGAGCTCTTCAGCTCAAGACTAGGATTCTCACCTTTATCTTCTGTACAGAAAGAAAATTAAGGACCTTCACAACGATGACAATTTAAGAATCTGCCTTCACAAACATCATTCTCCAAATCATATCTGATAACTAATATTATTTTCAGCATTTCAAGTTTCCCTTATTTTTGAGACTCCCCTATTTGCAAAAGGAAAGTCAAAGGAATACTTGAGGATATCTTTTTAAAGATTGTCTCCGTTCCTTTATTCACAGGAAGTTCTAATCATCAAGTACTAGAACAGTTTTTCATTTAGTTCACAGGGGAAAAAAAATCAAAGTTCAGGATTGCCTTATCACTAAAACCTTCCATTTGCAAAAGGAAGAAGATGGGTAAAAATAATCTCCGGTTCTGTATGTCTCCAGAGGGGGAAGCTGGGCATGAAGTTCTGCTGTATGTTCACAGTTCTATAATTATTCCCCTAAAAAGGAAACCACAAACTCATGACTGGCAGAATTTCTGGTTAGTCATTGGGAGCCCAGAGCGGTATAAAGACCCAATGTTGGCAGCAGAAGGGTAGACATCGCATATTAGGGACAGATGGCGCCTCAGCTTTGTCCCCCTCTATGTGTGGTTACGGTTGACGCTTCTTCTGACTATTGGGAAGGGCGAGACTTCCAGGAGAAAATGATCCCTTACACTAAGCAAGACAAGGATAACTATCAAGGTCATACAGGGCAAATCATCAAATTACAGCAAAAATTATTTTCAGCACAAGTATCTTGTCAGGTTCTAGACTTCAAACAGGTTAGCTTCATTTGGCTGAACCATCAACTCCTTTGTGAATTTTAATGTGGTGTCTGGCTTAGCATCCGGCTTTTCTTTTCACTCCTTGTTTTGTTGGTTAGCCTTTGAAAGTGTTCAATACTATTCCAATGGGCTCTACGAGAAGAGAACTGAAAACTGGCAACAATACTGACAGTCTAATGATTGGGTTGATGGATTTTATATTTTAAAGTTTCTGTTTCAGACTTGGTGATCTTTGAGGCAGAGCTCAGTAAGACTTCAATCTATATTAAATACATTTCTTGTGCAATTAGCAGAAGGTCAAATCATTATCCCATTGAATCTTAGTCATTATATTATGGTTAAGTTAGACATAACGCAGACTGTGTACTAGACAGGACTATTGGGCATACTGTGACAAAGCTGCAGCCAGAGTTCACTTCCTTCATTTGGTCAGGCTTTGATCACTCAAAGAGGGGACTCTCTTTCCAGGTCCATCTTGCTCACAAAAATCTAGGGTAACTGAACTGACTGTAATGTGCCAAGAAACCAAAGAAAGTGCTAGAAAGACCTAGAATGACAGAGGGATAGGTATTAGGGATTTGATGATAAAAGCATGGTCAAGAGCCATGGCAGAGTCCACAGCTCCCCACAGTCTGAGTCTGAGGAAAGGTTTTATAGAATGGTCAGGACAAGCTGATTTTATATAAGCTAGAATGCACCCAGTTTATTGTACGCGGGTGTGAAGACGGTTAGCATAGTCCTGGAGTTGATGGCACCGTGGTCCAGTAGTACTGCTTCTCTCATGTACCATTCAGATAAGCTTGTTTATTTAGAATATGCTAGAAAACTGTGCAGGGAAAACAGGTCAGGATTATGCGGCAGCAGCCACGCAGTTGGCGCTATGTTGGCTTTGGTCACGGGGAAAGCATCACCCAGGGTCGAGCTGGGTCCCTGCACTCAGTATTTTTATTTGTGGTTAAGCTGATTTACTGCTTTCAAGAAAATGAAATTTCTTTCTTTGCTTTTTTAGAATTAAGACCATAAGTATATAAAAGAATTAGTATATATAATTAGGAACGTAAGAACAAATGACCAGATGTTGATATAAATTATGATAAAAAACAAAATAACAAGTGTTCTTACCCTCTACTATAGATGTTGGTATTTTCCTGAATCTGAGTGTGTTATAAAGAGAAAAGAGAGATGAGAGATGAGAGCACCATATGGGAAGCATCCACCTAGAATATTCTCTCCAATGCAAACAGGCAGGAGGCGCGCACTCCTGAGGCGGCCAGTCAATGCTCATCGGCCGGCCTTTCGCCATCGCCTGAACCATCTCCATTACCGCCTTGTCTGTGCCACACGTGAGACTACATACTTTCCAGGTGGTAGATTGATAGGACTTGAGGACCACTCTTAATTCAAAATCAAGACATTGCAACAAGTTCTGGAATCTTGATTTCTCAACTATTCTCCTATTCTCTCTCTCTCTTCCTTCTCATCTCTCCCTTCCCCCCTCCTTCCTTCTCCCCCTTCTCTCCCCCTTTCTCTCTGTGTCTGTGTCTGTGTCTGTATCTGGCAGAAACGCCACCATCGCTCCTTTGAGCCAGGCGTGAACCTCAGAGCCATGCCTCTGCCTCCCACATCTAATGAATCATGACGGCACTTATGCCTCTGAAAAATCTTGTGTAACTGGCCTCTTTCCAGTTGCCTTTGCCACTGTCCTAGTTCACCAACGTGTCTGCTCTTATCTGAGCGATGTGGGTAGCTTGGGAAGCAATGTCCCTGCTGTTAGTCTCCCTCTCTCCCACGAGCCATGCCTTACACATGAGTCACAAAAGCTGACACTTACTGGGCTCCAGCTACATGCAACGTAAAACACTTCGTGCAAAGGGCTTACTTTAATTCTCCAAACCACCGTCATACCTAGAAATGTCCGCACCAGAGGCTTCGTGCTCATGAGGAAGCAGATGTAAGCGCAAGGCCATCAGGTCAGGCGGTCCGCACCCAGCCCAGACCCTTAGCCACTGAATTCACTCCGGAACAACCGAGTTCCTGGTGTGCAGCTTTCCTCATGGGTCAAGAAGCCAGCAGGTTTGGTGAAATGCAAATTGTTATTTCTACTGTGTCAGAATCTGATTTCATCAATGGGCAGCTCCCCCAGCCATGGCTTTTCTGATCTTAACACCAATACAATTAGGAGAGGGTCTTAAGACCACTGCAACTGGCAATGTCATTACCACTACATGACTACCAACACCTCATCATCATCATCATCATCATCATCATTATCACCATCATCACTATTATCCCATTAACTTCCTACAGAACGCCATCCACCTTGTGGAAATGTCATTGCTACCTTGTGACGCTCAGACGTTTATTATTTTTTAACCAATACGGCTGATAAAGATTCCAGTGTATTGGTGCAAGTATGTGCATTTCAGCACACACTTAAAAATTTAAAAACTGACAACTTATTTTTCCATTATGCTTTATTTAAAGTATAAAGAGTTGAGTCTTTCTGTTCATACTACATAGCCAATTCATCAAATTCTCTCCCTCATATTCTATATTGAGCAGAGCTATGTTTTCTCCCAAGTTGTCACCCTGAGACACGGGCTAGAAAAGTGAGCAAGTGAATTTCCCAAAGGTGGTTGCACGATTGAGATCCAAAGCCATCACAAAGGAGCTAGAAGAAGCATGTCATGTGCCTTCCATAATGGAGTACCTGGAAACCTTCCATCGGGCATTTGAGCCTGCAGCTAACCCCTCTGTGTCTCCTGGCACCGGACTTTTGTCATACACATGCACATCTGCATCATTTACTGCCTTAGTTGTTTTGTCCTATCTTTTTGCTTAGATTTCACATGCTAGTTTTAACTTTCAAAGGCTAAGTGCAACACAGATATAAGAATAAAATATCTGTCCCATTTAAATTCTTATTCCTTCCTCCCTGTGATACATAGACTACAATTTAGAAACATTGGCTGTGGCCGAGGTTCATGTTTATTGACTGCTTTCTAAAATGTCCACTGTCTAGTCCTGATTTTCAGATAGGTATG